ACCATAAAACATAATGCCAGGTACTGGAGATACAAATTGTATAAAGGACAGCAACTGGTAAGCTCCAAGTTGGTGTAGCCGTACTACAAGGCCCCATGGGCTGGGGGTGGGGGAGGTGCAGAAGAAAACCCACAGAGGCGGACTGGAGAGGCCAGCAGTGCAGTGCTGGGCAGATGCCCCCCAACGATGCTGGACTGCTGCAGACGAGGTTGTTCTGCTGTGCTGAAGTCACAATGGAGAGGCTCCGCCCACTCCCCCCCAGCACTTCCTCCCTTGCATCAGTTGCTCGCGAGCCGCACAGGAGTCCTGGATGGGCCAGATCTGGCCCCCGGGCCTTAAGTTCGACACCCCTGTCTTAGACAGTGTACGCCTCAGGGTTTTTAAAGTTCTCCACAAAGATAAAAATAAAGGCTTAGAATCAGGAGTTGAGTTGTTAATATTTTCACTGATATTTTTATTTTTAAAATGCGACTATTTTTGTTCACAGTTAACATGCGTGATATTAATATTGTTAAGAGGTCACTGTTTTCTGTGTTATAAATATTAACTTGCTATCTGAATATGTTGCGAGTCTCATCGTGTCTGAATTAGACTATTTTTGTCCAAATAACATATTCTTTTGTTTACTGCAAAATATGTGTGCTTTGTTTTCAAAATTTATCCCCCCCCCCCCCCCCCCCCGCTTTTCAGATGACATGTGCCAAAGTAGCACAGGACGAAGCAATTTGCAGCTTTCTCTCTCCCCTGTATTGGTTATATTTGCAACCTTACTCACAGAAAGCAAAACCTTTAATTTTATAATCGTGCCAAATTGTACAGTTTTTATATTTGAATGCTTTTTCTATTAAAGCATACGAGTTTGTTAAGAAAGTAAATATTGTACCAATATATGTAATTCTCAGCATGGATAAATCTGTAGGTACTTGGATCCAGAGACTGTAGTCATGAATTGACAAGATAGGTCTTTCTACAAACCTGGAAAATGCCCCAGATTTGCAGAAAAATCTGAAATCTAAAAAAAGGGGGGGGGAAAGAAATACATTGGGGGTTAATAAAAGCTATGCCTGTGGCTTTAAGAAACAAATGCCCTCAGTGGCCATTGCTAGACAGCTTTCATGCCTAGGTTTCTGTAAGTCAAAGGCAAGTGAGCCCTTTCTGGGACTGTTTTGACATTTGAGGGAGAACTCATTGGCTCATGCCCGGCATCAGCCACTGAGCGACTTGATACCACACAACTTGCATGACTCACCCCGGTCCAGCCGCTCACTATTGTTCAACAGCAGCCATCGCACGAAAGCCAGTGTGGTGTAGTGGTTAGACTTTTCAGAATAAGAACTGGGAGACCCAGGTTCGAATGACCATTCTGCCATGGAAGCTTGTGGGGACACACACACACACACAGGGCCAGTTACACATTCTCAGCTTAACTTAGCTCACGGGGTTGTTGTGAGAGTAAAATGGAGGGCATGAAAATGATGTAAGCTGCTTTGGTTCTCCATTGTGGAGAAAGGCAGAGTAGAAATGAAACAACAAATATTGCTGAATTTGGGGGCCAGGTAAAAGGTTGGTTGGTTGGTAAGTAGGAAGGAGAGACGGAAGCAGAAAAAAGAGACTGTGGGGGCTTTCAGGGAAGGGAGAAGAAATAGTGGGGAAGGGGGAAAATGAGATGTCCCCGCAAGTACTTGTGAGTCCCCTGCTTGTATATGCAAAATTTCTGTATTTGTACCCTGGAAGAAAGAATTTGTTTCCCTGTGATTTCAAAATTTCTGATCCCCTCCCCCTTTTCTAATTAAATAGGCAGTTGGTATTATGATAACTAGAGGGGCCGTGGTGGCTGAGTGGTTAAGATGCTTAGGTCAGTAGCTCGGCAGTTCGAGACCCGAGTGTCATGTGACGGAGTGAGCTCCCAGCTCCTGCCAACCTAGCAGTTTGAAAGCAAGAAATTGCAAGTAGATAAATAGGTACCACTTTGGTGGGAAGATAATAGCGTTCTGTTCGCCTTGGCGTTTAGTCAAGCCGGCCACATGACCACAGAAATGTCTTCGGACAGCTCTGGCTCTTCGGCTTGGAAATGGAGATGAGCACCACCCCCTAGAGTGGCTGGCTTTTGAGCAAGGGGAACCTTTACCTTTTTTATTATGGTAACTGTTTATCCTGGATGCACTTGAGTTTTACATAGGGATGTAAAAGCTGTTTTTTCATATTGACCCCACTGATCCCCTCTGAAGCCTCATGTATTTGTTTAATATATATGTCTGCAAAGCAATGTTACACTTGCATGTGTCTGATTAAGTAGGCTGTGGACTGCGAAATTAAATTGGTTTGTCTATAAGGTTCCACAAGACTATTTCTAGCTTTTGCAGCTGCAGATTAACACAGCTGCCTGCTGAAATACATGGGTGTTTGATTCCCACCCCTTTAACTCTCCTGGCATGAAAAGACAGAGTCATTCCTCCAGATTCCATGTGTTAACCCTAGCATCATAGCCTGGGTTGTGGTTAATGAAAAATCGCAAGTAGCTGCGAGTCCCCATTATAAGAGGAGGAAATAATGAGGGGGGGGGGAAGGGTTCCTTTAATTTTTTAAAGTACTCACAGACTTGGCTTCTGACCAAAGTTGATATGATCAAATTTGATAGCTGAGCAAGGGTAAGAAAATGAGCTCTGCGGCCTTGGGAGACACCTGAACTGAGATTTACATACATACAAATCTCACCTTGGCCACATTCTCAGCCGCCTTTGATGAGCCTCCTTTTTCCCACCTGCGATAACAGTGTCCTTCCTTACAGGGCTGCTGTGATGTGCAAATGGATGATAACAGTGAAAGTGGTGTATAAATGAGAGGTTGCATTCTGTACAGAACCCACCTAGCTTTTCTTCCCGGAATTAATTTGTGATCCGGGTTCTTGGTTTCTTGTAGTTCTATCCTAAACAAAGTGGCCCTCCTCTAAATTCACTTATTTCAAGGGATTTACCAGGGTATGACTCCATTGAGGACTGTACTATCCGTAGCCTGGAGCAGAAGGTTTCTGTTGATGTGAGCACGTTCTGTATAGCCTTCCACTCAACTTGTACTTTTGTCCTCTCTTACTGGTGCATATCTGAACTTACATAGACATAATGACACAGATCAAATCATGCACCTGTTCATCCGGTGAGGGCAGGTAGATTTGTTGTGTTGGATGGTTAACTGTTTTCTCATACTGGAAGCTGCTTTGATCTACACTGGGCGGAGAAAAGCAGGCTAAAAGTATCCGACTAAATAAATACATGAATAAAAATCTTCTAAATATATTTTCCATTGCTGGAATGAGAGAAATGCTTAACCTTGCTCTGATGAAGTGTTACACTGCGTGGTTAGCTGGAGGGATATTACTCTGTGCCCAGCATTCCCTCCAAGCTGTGCACGTGAGCTCATTAACACAGGAAGCCCCGCTCAGCAGCAGTATGGAGCCACACAGGGTCTTGCACTGCCCGTTGCCCATTTGAAGATTACAACAGTTTGCTCAGGATGTGAACTGCTCTGGTCAGGAGGGGAAAAAAATTAGAGGGAACATTGCTAGGCTGTGCCATAGGTTGATGCATCTAACTGCCATGTCAGATGTAAGGATACCACCTAAAGCCACGTTTTAAGATAGCAGCAGCAAGACGCTGGGACGATCCGCACACAAGGCCAGCAACTGTAAATCCCCCCCCCTGTTCTTAATAAATATTCTCTCTTCTGCTGTTTTGATCTTGCCAAAACAGTTCTGAGCGTTTGGAGACTATTAACAAATTATCTGTATATCAAATTACCTCCTCTGCTCCTTCTTTTAGCAACATCTGCTTTTGTGCTTTCTTGTTTCCCTTACTTGCATGGTAAATCAGTAACCTCAACTTGGAACGTTCCGTATTTGCAGTCGTTCCCTTGGGAGCTGACATTTTGGGTGTCATAAGGCTGTTTATTATCTCCCATGTTTATCACCAGTGTGCTGCCCCTTAATGAGATCATCCAAAGTTTTGCTGTAGACGATATGCCAGTGGCCACAGCTGAAGGTTTATTCAAAGTAATATGTAGCTGGGTGTCGTCTCTTGCCCTGGCCAGATGTCTGGATGCAGTTGTCCTGTGGCTGAGAGGCAACAAACAAACTGAATCCAGAGAAGACAGAGATGTTTCTGGCTGGAAGGGCCATTGTTTTAAATAGGTTCTTTCTACTATCGATGGTGTGCAGCTTTCTCTGAAAGACTACATAAAGTCTTCCTGTGTTCTCTCTTGCAAACAGGTTTAGGGTATCGCTTCACTGTTGTAGCCTGTTACCTAGTAATGATGTATTTATATGATGCAGGTGGATAACCAAAAAGGTTTAAACAAAGAAAAAAAGCAACTAAAATATATCTATGCATGTAGTGCAGATGTACAGAATACCAAATATAATTTAATAATACAAGCAAAGGTGTTAAAATATCATTTAAAAACAAAAGTCCTGTGTTTCGGCATAAAGGTACCTAATCCCAGTAAGAAAGACAAAATGTCCATTCATATAAATACAGGTTTAAAGGTACATATGCAAGAGCCACTATCAAATGTGCTTTGGCACTAAGCTTTCCTCACTGGTACAATTCAAATTGAGCACTCCATTAATTTGACAAAGACATACATAAAACTGATCATAACACAAAATGGACCTTATGCTGAGATGTTCACCCGTGGGGTATGTGGTGTCAAAGATTCCTGAGGTGCAACATGGACAAGGCCTCAAGATGCAAAATATTTCCTTTGCCCCTGGGTCTTCTTGGGTCCAATCTGCAGTGCTCAAAGCTCCAGTGGAGTGCTCAGGTACAACGGGAAAAGAATCAGGAATTTTGTAATGATGTATTTATATGATGCAGACCTTCAAGTGTGTCAGGAATGAAACTGTTTCAGTTTAAATGTGTTGAGAAAAGTTTTCAGAAACCAGCTCCAATTTGCTTTGAGCCTGCCACTCTTGATTTTTTTCTTCTTCTTCCCCTCTTTCTTGTTAGATGAAAGTTGCACTGAGTGACATTATCCAGCTCGCTACCTTGGATTCAGACCCCTGGGTCTTAATGGTAGCTGATATTTTAAAATCCTTTCCAGATACTGGCTCCCTTAACCTTGATTTGGAGGAGCAAAATCCCAATGTTCAGGATATTTTAGGTGAACTGCGAGATAAAGGTAAGTTTCCTTTCACATAAAGGGCTGTCTTTCATTTGTTTAGTAAATAATGGGTTGGGGTACAATCCCGTGTCATGCGAGTGGGATTACTTCATTTATAGCAGGGACCTCCAATGTGCTCGTGGGCATCTGCCAAGTGTTTTTTTAAAGTGGGTAGTGCCAGGTGGAGCTTTTCTCTGACAAAAGTTTCTGATTTGGCCACTGTGTGACAGTGTTGGGCTGGATGAGCCATTGACCTGATCCAATATTGGCTTCTCTTATGTTCTTATGATTGGTTGTGCGTATTTGATTGGTTGTAGATATTTTTAAAAAACAGTGGTTCAACAGCCATTGCATGTCTGGCTCCCAGGGCACCCATTTTGTGGTTGTGCCCACCGTGCTGTATCAGAATTCCAATGGTGCCCACAGGCTTAAAAAGGTTGGGGACCCCTGACTTGTAGCCTGCCTTTTCCACTGGGACTCATGGATTACAGCTAAAAACCGTCCTGGAACAACAGTGTAATACTACCAGCAATGATGCCCTTTCCCAACCATTTTAGATAGAACGTTTATATAATTTTTAGTGTACCTTTAAAAAACAAAAAAACAAAAATGTTATGTCATTTGTTCGCATTCAGAGTTTACTCGAATTGAAGTTTGTATCTTGGTGTAATTTTTGGTGCAATTGCAAAACAGATGTTGCTGCAGTTAATGTTGAAAGAAGCTGATATTAAATCTCTTACTTTGACAAATATTTTTGCAGTTGAGACTTGTGTAGTTGTAGAGTGGAACATTTCATTAAGCCTTGCATTAATGCAATACAACCTATTCATTTTTTAACTTGTGGTTATATTTGAATGGTGGTCAGGGAAACCGACAAACGTTGGTCAGGAAAAGTCAGGGAAATGATAAATAAAATTTTAGTGGCAACCCTGCACAAAACCCTTAGCCCTCTGCAGGCAACATCAACATTTCCCATAACCGCATGGAGGGCAAGCCTGGCATGTTCACACCAACTCCACTTTTATGTGCACAGCAGCAGCAAGAGACGTCCCAATCCTTGCTTGCCCATGAGGTCGGTGACTGCAGTTGAATGTTTTGTCCGAGCAGCTGGGGCAGGAGTCCAGACTGAGCCTGGAGAGCTGATGACCCCACGTCTGAGCAGCAGGATGCAGGCTGGTCACAGCGGCTGTTGGTCAGCAGGGGACTGGCGTTAGACTCCAAATGCATTCCTTCTTGGCCGCAAGCCTGTAGGATGGTTACCTGCCTAGAGTCCAATGGTCCCCCACTGGGGAGAAAGGTGGGGTACCAGTGAAGCCTGTAAATAAATAAATACTGAACTGACAGCCACCCACGGAGAACTGTACCTGGTACTCAGGCAAGAGGGAGGTCGTCACCCCAAAGAACATGATAATACCATCTGTTGATTTTACGCAGAAGTGATTACGTGTGTCAGCCACTTGAACAAAGTTACTCTCACTGAAGGTGATTTGTTTATTAAAGAATAAAGATGTTCCAGCTAAGAACCTGGTTGAGTCAGAACTGATATTCTGGTGCGAAAACCCTCAATTATACCTGGTTCAAACATAGTCCCCTCCAATCACAGTGACCATTCATTCCCGCCTCTAATCTTGCCCCACCTGTAAATCATTCCTTTGTTATCTCATCTGAGGCGGCAAGCAGGGAGACAGAGAGACAGACCCAGGCCATCTGGCCACTATTCCTGGGAAGGGAGGGTATTGTCAGGAAGTTACATGAGATGTATTGCCCTACAATAAAGCCGTTCTCACTCGCACACATTCACACTTCCCCTACCCTGGAATTTCCCCCAATACATGGCAAATGAGTTAGCAAGGTTGACAACAGGTACTCATTAGTTATTTCTTACCCAAACCAAGCAGATTACAGGCAAGGAGACCCTTCTAAGAAAGAGCTGACAATCAATACAGACTCCCATATTTATAGGTTTTCCAAATCATTCAAACATTACTGAGCTCTTGCACATATCAGTCATCTGGAGTTTCTGGCTGCAGTCACTTTGTGTCTTCTCCTGAGACCACAAGCCAAAGTAGTTACGGTTTTGAAGTTATTGAAGGGAGAAACAGAGCTGCACACTTGTCTAGCTGTGCGGAGGGCATGCTGAAACATTGCACACATGGCTTGGACAGAAGCCTAGGAGAGCTGCATGTGCACCACAGGGTCTTGGCGGCAGCAGTTCAGGAGGATGGGAAACTACTTCCAAAATACTTACTTGCAACCCTATGTTAGTTGGACTGGATGAATCAGAATCCAGGAGCACCTTAAAGACTAACAAAGTTTGTGGCAGGGGAGGAGCTTCCGTGAGTCACTGCTCACTTCTTCAGATGTAGCCAGAATGAGAGTCCATCAGTCCTTATAGTTTTGAAAGTGAAATAGCAGACAAATGACAATAGCAGGTGAATAACCATAGCGGGCGTGATTGGATTAGCTGTGATATGCAGAGGGGTAGTAAGCCTGGAGAAATTAGCATTGGTGATGAGACAGGAAATCTAGGTCTCGATTCAGTCCAGAAGGATGCATTGTTTTGAGCCTCCTTATCAGTTGCAGTTCAGCAGACTCTCTTTTAGAAAGAGAGACTGCTGAATAGCCAATGATAATGAAGTCTATTGTCACTCGCTATTTAAAACCACTCCATTCTCCAAGATATAAGGACAGATGGACTCACATTTTGTTAGTCTTTAAGGTGCCACTGGACTCTTGACCTTTTCTACTGCTACAGGCAGACTAACACAGCGGCTGCCTATCTTGATCTATCTCCATGGATGAATCAGACCTACTTGTTTTAACTCAAATGGTAAAGAGGAAGGGCTTTTCCGATCATGGCCCCAACTGCGACATAGAAGACACCTGTAGAAATGGCATATAAAGCATGTTGTTTTTGTGTCGTAGAATTTTTTTGACGAAATGTTGAGTAACTGAGTCAAAATTTGAAGCCTTTTTTCCCTTATGAGTTGATGTGAGAACTTATTTCCTTTGTATCTCAATTTGCGTGCAGTGAGCGAATGTGAAACTTCCGTGATGTTGCCGTTAGAGTGCCAGTACTTAAATAAAAATGCCTTGACCACATTGGCCGGGCCCCTCACTCCCCCGGTGAAGCATTTTCAGCTGAAACGGAAACCAAAAAGCGCAACTCTGCGAGCTGAGCTCTTACAGAAGTGTAAGTCTTGGGCCAGGTATAATATTTACAAAGACAAAATCGTGGGGTGGCTCTGAATACGATTCTTTATGCATTTGCATAATTTTTAAAAACCTAAACAGCATCGTAGCTCCATGCTGTTCGAGAAGGATGTCGATAACTCAGGATGTACTTCTGTAGGCTGGAACATTGATTCAGAACTGTTGAAGTGGGAATCACGTGGACAATTGGGCGCAATGGTAGCAGGTAGCACAATATTTGAGGGAGAGTCCTTCGTAAAAACAAAAAGGGAAGATGGGCAAGAGAAGTTCTTTATTTCCATTAGACGCGTAGAAGAGGGCATTCCAATGGACCCCGTTTTCCCGACCTATCGAAATTCCCGCTTCTTCATCAGGAGCTCTGTCTTTCGTTGCATCTGTCACGCGCACAGTGAAAATTTGAAATTGCATCAGTGGCTGAGGCCTAGTGTATAAGAATACATGCATGCCAGATTCCTAGGGCTGCCAACCTCTAGGTGGGGCCTGGAGATCTCTTGGAATTTTAACTGCTCCTAAGACAACACTGATCAGTTCCTCTGGAGAAAATGGCTGCTTGGGATGGTGGACTCTGGCATTATATTCTGCTGAGGTCCCTTCTGTCCCCACACCCCGCCTTCCTGTGGCTCCACCTTCCTCCCCCACCCCCCCCGGATCGCCAGGAATTTGCCTGCAGCAGACTCCCCAGGATTAGATTGTACTCTGTATTGAGTACTGTGGTCATTCTGGATAGGTTTCAGTTTTCATAAAACTGGTCTGTTAAAAGAGCTTGGTTGATTGTAGGTTGTCTTTTCAGCTGAGTACTGATTGGGATTATGTTTCTTTTTCTAGCGACTGAAACAGCTCAGCAGTTCAAGAAGACCACTGGGGTGCCTTTCCATGCCAAAGGAAGGGGGCTGGTCAAAAAAATAGACACCACAAGTATGATTTATTTATTCATTTTGTTGCTACTGAAGGGATGTCTTCTGTAGAAGTACAAATTCATGCATAAAGCTGTTAATTTTAGACATGCGTTTACAAGGATCGTGCTGAATCCTCCAGCCCCCAGAGTGCTTATAACCACTTATATTCTCTTTAATAATGAGTATCCTGGTTCTTAATTTAAAACATCTCTAATTCCCTACCTCACCTTGACCTGAGTAGCCCAAGCTAGCCTATCTCCTCAGATCTCTGAAGCAAAGCAGGGTCGGCCCCGGGGTTAGCCCTTGGATGGGAGACCACCGAGGAAGTCCAGGATTACGAGGCAGAGGCAGGCGATGGCAAACCCGCCTCTGAACGTCTCTTGCCTTGAAAACCCTGTGGGGGGTCGCCATAAGTCAGCTGTGACTTGACAGCAAACACCAACAACAATGACAACTTCCTGATCTCACAGGTAATATTACAAGTTGTTGTGGTCAGATGTTCACCTCCAAGGGTGTGCCTCAGGAAAATCCTCCTCCTTTTCACCTGGAGTTTCCTGGGGGAAACAATCTGAATACAAAACAACCGATTTCCCCCCACCCACCCCCATGGCTTCCGCACAGCATCGTGGTGTTCTTGTGCACCTTCCAGCTTTCCTGTGAGCAATTCTCCCTCCAAGCTGTGGAGTCTTGTGAGCAAAAAATTCTACTGGTATTAAAGTTGTGAGCAAACAATTTGGCTGCTGCATAAATTAGTTTGCTCTGGAGCAGTGTTCCCTCTAAGCTGAGTTAGTGTGAACTAGCTCACAGTTTTTTAGCCTCCGGCCCACACATTTTTGTCTTAGCTCAGGAAGGATGGCTCCAGAGCAAACTAATTTATGCAGCAGCTTGGGAGCAGCCTGGTCCCCCGGCTCTGTTATTTTGGGCTCTACAGTTGAGCCAAAGAAGAAGAAGAGATTGGATTTATGCCCCGCCCTTCACTCGGAGTCTCAGAGTGGCTTACAGACTCCTTTCCCTCCCCCTCCCCACAACAAACACCCTGTGAGGTAGGCGGGGCTGAGATTGCTCTGACAGAAACTGTTCTTTTTCAGGAACAGCTCTGAGAGGACTGTGGTTTGCCCAAGGACATCCAAGGACAGGTGCAAGTGGTGGAGTGGGGAATCAAACCCAGTTCTCCCAGATTAAAGTCTGTGCACTTAACCACTACACCAAACTGGCTCCCCCCGTGGCTCAGCTGTTTCGACTGGAAACAGCCTGCTTCCACTGCTCAGCTGTTTAAAGGGGCTTTCTTGGGGAGCCAGCCCCAGGCTTGGAGCCACTTAAACCAAACAGCTCAACTGTTTTTCACAAAGAGCAAAAAAAGAAATGGGTTTAAACCCCTGCTTTCTGCTCTTCATGAACCACCATAAACCACATCAAAATTCCTGAAAGTTCGTGATGGGTCTTCAGTTCGCAAACATTGCTTTACACGCCACGAACCAGCCAAAATTCATGACGAACTTTAGTTTGGCGGCCAGTTTGTTCCTATCCCTATTCCTGACCTCTTCAGGCATGCTATTCCATAAGGTGGGGGCCACAACACAGGATGCATATGTATGGGCAGTTGTTGATCTTGCCCATGTGTAGGGTGGGACCTGGAGAAGGCCCTGATCAGGTGAGCAAAGATGTTGTGGTGGAGCATAGAGGCAGAGGTGGTCTTGCAGGTGTGAGTGTCCAAGACCACATAGGGCTTCGTATGTGATAACCAGTGCCTCGTATTGAACTGATGGTTAGCCAGTGGAGTGACTGCAGAATCGGAGTAATACGCATGCCGTGCCTATCTCCTGCTACCGTGATCTATGGTATCGAAAGTTGCCGAGAGGTCCGGGACAGTGTTGTACTCCCTGTCCCCTCTCATGGTGCAAGTCATCCATCAGGGCAACCAAGGCTGTTTCAATCCCACAACCAAGCCCTAAACCTCTATTGTAGAAGATCTAAACAACATATGCAGATTAATAAATAAAAGGAGAGAAGAAGAAGAAGGAGATTGGATTTATACCCTGCCCTTCACTACCCGAAGGAGTCTCAGAGCAGCTTATACTCCCTTTCCCTTCCCCTCCCCACAACAGACATCCTGTGAGGTAGGTGGGGCTGAGAGAGCTCTCCCGAGAACTGCCTTTGAGAGAACAGCTGTGAAAGAACTTATGACTGACCCAAGGTCACACCATCAGCTGCATGTGGAGAAGTGGGGAATCAAACCTGGTTCTCCCAGATGAGAGTCCGCGCTCCTAACCACTACACCAGACTGAGAGAAAAGAACCATGCAAGTGTGTTTTGTACTCGCGCATTTGAAATTTATCTGTGCATGCTTGGCTTCTCCTTAGCTATTTTGGTTCTCAGTCTTAAGCATAATGTATACTCCCCCCCACACACACACACACACTTTGTGGCCACGGCTATCAGCCATTTGGGTGTTTTCCAGTAGTGGGGGTTTTAATCCTGTTTTTACTGCAGTGAACTATGATGACAATTGTGCATATGTGTTTGTTTGATTTTTAGCACCACTCAAAGGAATACCGAAACAAGCACCATTCAGGAATCCCACCGCCCCAAGTGTGTTTAGTCCTGCTGGAAACAGAACGCCCATTCCTCCTTCAAGAACTCCACTTCACAAAGAAAGAGGAGTCAAGGTAGATGAGCTTAGAAAAGTGTGTGCTTGCCATCAGAATTAGAAGCATGTTTATTGTCTTTGCAGCTTTATGGGAGAACAAGTATGTCGTATGTTTGGAAAATTAGGTAAAGGTTTCCCTTGCTCGAAAGCTAGTCGAATCTGACTCTATGGGACGGTGCTCATCTCCGTTGCCAAGCCGAAAAGCCAGCGCTGTCCAAAGACTTCTCTGTGGTCATGTGGCCAGCATGACTAAATGCTGAGGCGCATGGAACGCTGTTACCTTCCCACCGAACTGGTACCTATTTATCTACTTGCAATTTCTTGCTTTCGAACTGCTAGGTGATGGGAGCTCACTCAGTCATGCGGCACTTGGGTCTCGAACTGCCGAACTACAGACCTTCTGGTATGCAGCTCAGCGTCTTTATTAGCACCCACCTAACCTGTGCACCTGCTCTTTGGCCATGTCCAGTGCTGGAAGCTTTGGAAGAAGAGGCCTTGTTGGCATGATGGGAGGCCACTCTTCTTTCCTGGACCTAAGGACAGTGAGGAGAGTCTAACCCTCCTTAGCGCAGGGATCCCCTTCCCCAACCTATTTGAGCCCGTGTGCACCTTTGGAATCCTGACACAGCATGGCGGGCGCAGGAGGTAGAGCCAGTCATACAATGGCCGCTGCAGCTTGCCTTCAGTCACAAAGCAAAGATCCTTGTGCAGTTGTGGCAGCAAAGCAACATTTTAAAAAAAAAATTGCACAACCAATCAGAAGCCTGGCTGGTTAAAAACTCCACTCAGCCCCACCAACTTTCCAAAAAATTCTTGGTGGGTGCCAGGAAAAGGGTCAGGGGGCGCCAGGTGGGGACCTCTGATGTAGCATATATGCCTCTTGTTCTTATTCCACACTTGCCCACGATGGGGGGCTGATTCTGAGACCCAGCATGTGGTAATGGTTTGTAGGTCTTGCAGGGAGAAGGAAAGTCTCTCTCTCAGTTTTCAGGATAACAGATCCGTAAACAAGATGGCGAGGCAACTCCAGACCAGATTTGCTTGGATGCAGTGTTCCCTCCAAGCTGAGTCAGTGTGAGCTAGCTCACAGTTTTTTAGCCTCCAGCTCACACATTTTTGTCTCAGCTCAGGAAGGATGGCTGCAGGGCAAACTAATTTATGCAGCAGCCGAATCGCTGGCTCCCAACTTTAATGCCAGTAGCTCACAAAGTAGAATTTTTGCTCACAAGACGCCACAGCTTAGAGGGAGCATTGCTTGGGTGCATTGTAAACTAGGAAAGTGTCATGCCAAAGGGAAAGTGCTGACATAATAAATCATGCAAATGACACTTTTCTTTGTTTAGCAATCCAATGACCAGCAGTTTCAGACAGACTCAGTCTTATAAATACCATATACTGGCTTGCTGCGGTCAAGTGTTCATAGCGACGTCACGAAGGACACTTAACGTAACTGGCCTGATGAGTCGTTATCATTGCTCATTTTGCACACTTTGTTTCAAATCTCAGATCTGGAATTTGCTTATTTTATTTAATCTTCGACGTGGTCTCACACCCATGGGATACAGTGCGTTTGTGCTGGATCGATCAGCATTGTAGCAAGCTCTTAACGGATTTTCGCGCCCAGACCTTGGGCATGCGCAGGAACCCCATCACGCATGCCCAGAGGGGTGGGCGCAGACATCCTGCCAGTTCCTTTCTCTCTGCCGCGCTGGAAGCACCCTCCTTTCGTCGGTCTGTATCAGTACTATTTTTTTCTCAGAGGCTCTTCGGATTTTTCTCAGTTCTCTTTATTTCTTGTTATTTTTCACTAATCTTTGTATTGTTCATTCTTTTTAAAAAAGCTGTTTTTGTTGAGGGGAAAGTTTTTTCGTTTACCTCAGTTTGGCCTTCGGACTCCCTCCCCCCACCTTTTTTCTTCTCCGTTTTACTTATTTTATGGAGAAGAACTGGGGCTTTTTCAACCGCTGCAAGGGTTGCGGCAGTAAGCTCGCTCCACCTGACCGCCACACCCTTTGCATTTTTTGTTTGGAGGAGACACACCGACCAGAGTCTTCTCGGCACTGAGCTAGGTTTTCTAACCAAACTGGGAAAAACCCAATGGCACACGTTACATCCTCCCTCAGTGATGGATTCAGAAAGACCATCGACATCGACGGCTCCGGCATCGAAGCCCTCCTCCGACATCGCCCTTCCACCCGTCGCCCGAGGTCACCATTACGACAGATGCTTCCCTGACGGGATGGGGTGCACACTCCATGGGCCTCTCTGTTGGAGACAAGTGGAACACACAGCGACACATAAACTTTCTAGAACTCCTCACTATACAACACGCTGTCACCAGTTTCCTCCCTTTAATCAAGGGAAAATGTGTCACGGTCCTCACGGACAACACCACAGCACTTTCCTATGTCAACAGGCAAGGAGGCACTGTTTCCCTATGACTCTGCACCCTCGCCATTCAGCTGTGGGAGTTTTGCATCGCCAACAACATATTCCTCGTCGCAACTCACATTCCGGGACGCATGAATATGCAGGCAGACCATCTAAGTCGAGCAGGACTCAGCCTTCATGAGTGGGGAATGAACCCAACATACCTCCTCCCACTCTTCCACAAGTGGGGAGTTCCCCAAGTCGATGTCTTTGCAAACAGAAACAACAAAAAGTGTCCTCTGTTCTGCAGTCGAGGAGGCAAGGACCCACAATCTCTAGCAGATGGTCTCCTTTACCCTTGGTCCTCGGGACTTCTTTACCTGTTCCCCCCCTTACCTCTGCTTCTGAGAGTGGTCCGCAAAATTCTCAAAGACGCTGCGGACTGTATCTTAATAACCCCATGGTGGCTGAGACAACCTTGGTTTTCAACGGTCCTGGAGTTATCACAGGGGATATACCATCAGTTCCCTCCGGCTCAGGACCTCCTCCCCCTCTCCGACTCCCCCGTCCTACATCACGACATACTGCAATTGAAACTGACGGCATGGCAGATAACATCACCGGCTTCTCCCGCGTAGTGAATGTCCTCTTGAATTCCAGGAAGCCTACTATGCGGAGGTCTTACGATTATAAATGGCGATGGTTCTGTTCTTCCCTTGGTGATGACGCCCCTCGAGCCACCTCAGTGGGTCTCGAAAGAGTTTTCCGATTCCTCCTCTCCTTAGCTGACTCGGGACTTTCCCATTCATCGTTAAGAGTTTATTTGGCCGCTCTCTCGGCCTACCATGTTCCAGTTGACGGATGCACTTTGTTTTCACATCCAATTTCCAAACGATTTTTAAAAGGTTTGTTACACCTCTATCCTCCTGTTAAAACTCTAGTCGCTCCCTGGGACCTTCCTCTAGTGCTATGCCAGCTCAACAA